CTCGTGCTGTCCACGGGTCTGGCTCTTCCGCTAGACACGAGCTCCCAAGGGCGAGGGCTGAGTGGTTCCCACCTGTGTATTAATCGCCTACCATACGCCCTGACTTAGGGTGGGTACAGACGTCTATACTGGCAACCAGAATAGGGTAAGATCAGTGCCGGGGTCTTTGAGGGAAGACGAGGGGTCTGTGGGAGCCCAGAAGAGGCCCTGGGCAAGCCTGGGGGAGGGGTGGGGACCAGGTAAGTCTTCTCTGAGAAGGCGATGCCAGAACTGAGTCTGAAAGGATTAGCAAGGTGTCAGCCGGCATTCCGTGACATTCCATCAGGTGGGGAGTCCAGGGAGCAGACCCCAGGAGCAAAGACTTGGCAGCAAAAATCCATAACCAGCCCAGGGTGTGTGTGCCTGTGTGTGTGTGTGCATGTGTGTGTGTGCATGCGTGTGTGTGCATGTGTGGGGGTGTGTATTTGTAGCTGGGATGGGGGAGAGAGGGAGGGGAGGGATGCTGAGCGATTGAGAGTAGAAGGCAGGGGAGATGGTGGCGACTGGTGGTGTCGATGTGTGTTGTGGAGTGGCCAAACAGGGGGCTGGATTGGGAAGGGCTCTGGGCACCAGGCTCAGGAATTCAGACTTGGCCTGGGGGTAACAGACAAGAGACACAATTTGGGGTTTAGAAAAATCCCTCTGGCAGTTAGTGTACAATGAACAGGGCCTCCTAGGCCCTGTTTTGGGAATTGGGGGGTGTGTGGGTTTAGTTATCATGATGCCTGGAGGCATCACTGGCAGTTAGTGGGCTGAGCCCAGTGTTGTTTAGGGTAGTTCAAAGAATTGTCCCACGTGCCATTTGTTGAATTTCCTGCCAGCTGTTAGTGTGGAGGGAAAACACCTGTTTGTAATTGTCCAAGTCTATGGCCCAAGTCTGGCTTGCACGTAAACAGAGAGCATTTTTACATGGTTTTTAACATATACTGAATTTGCCAGAAATACAACTTCCTTGTAAAAAAAATTTTTTTTTGAGAGAGAGAGAGTGTTGCTTTGTTGTCCCAGGTAGAGTGCAGTGGCGTCATCATAGCTTGCTGCAACCTCAAACTCCTGGGCTCAAGTGATTCTTATGCCTCAGCCTCCTGAGTAGCTGGGACTACAGGTGTGTACCACCACGCCCAGCTAAGTTTTCTATTTTTTGTAGAGACAGGATCTTGCTTTAGCTCAGGCTGGTCTTGAACTCCTGAGTTCAAGAGATCCTCCTGCCTCAGCCACCCAGACTGCTAGGATTACAGATGTGAGCCACCATGCCTGGCTGACTTCCTTGTAAATTGAAAGAAGACTGCACCTTATCTTGTTTGGAGATTTACTCAGATTTGTCACCATTTTGGAAACTTATATACTTGGAAATTACATAATTTGGAAATTAATGGCAAAGCTACTTATGGGATTTGAGCTGCCAACAGGACGATCTCCATATTGGTCTGCATTTGTGGCTGTCACATTCAGGAGGATTCTGTGTATAGGCACAAACTTCTCATTTTATCATGTCTGCTACTGTTGTCAACAAGAGTATTTACAATTCAAAGTAAATATCTTAAATTACTGTCCTTATTTATTAATTTAAGTAATACTAAATTAACTCTTAACATGGCCAAACACTGTTCTAAATTCTTTTTTTTTTTTTTGAGACAGAGTCTCACTTTGTTGCCTAGGCTAGAGTGAGTGCCGTGGCGTCAGCCTAGCTCACAGCAACCTCAAACTCCTGGGCTCAAGCGATCCTTCTGACTCAGCCTCCCAAGTAGCTGGGACTACAGGCATGCGCCACCATGCCCGGCTAATTTTTTCTATATATATTAGTTGGCCAATTAATTTCTTTCTATTTATAGTAGAGACGGGGTCTCGCTCTTGCTCAGGCTGGTTTTGAACTCCCGACCTCGAGCAATCCGCCCGCCTCGGCCTCCCAGAGAGCTAGGATTACAGGCGTGAGCCACCGCGCCCGGCCTTAAATTCTTTATAAATAATCACTCATTTAATTCTCAAAACAACTCTATGCAGTAAGTTGCTCTTGTTATCCCTTTTTTTTTTTTACCAGGGAGCTAACTGAGGCACAGAGAGGTTAAGTGACTTACCGAAGGTGACAGAGCTGGGAAGTGGAGAAGCCAAGATTTGAACCGGCGTCTGTATATTTCACCACTAGAATATAGAGCCTCCCTCTGCTATTTCAGTCAGGGCGCTGAGATGGTTTTCTTTTGGAAGATATATGCCTTCATTTCAGGGTAATAAGGGGCGATAGAAGATCTCTGTCTCGAGGGGCAGGTGAGACAAGGTGGAGAACCACTGAGAGAAAGCCCGTGAGAGAAAGCCGCTCACGGAAGCCTGGGTGTGGCCGCGCTCGGCAGGGTGCTGGGAGCAGACCCGACGCACCCCAACATTCTGCGGGGAAAGAGGGTGAGGCCAGGGAGGTAGGAGGGAAACCGGGGCGCACGGCTTGAGGAAGCCAGCGGGAGAGAGTTCCGGACAGAGGAGGGCGACAACCCGAAGGCCTCAGAAAGACCCAGTGAGGTCAGGGCTGGAGGTGGCCGGCCCTGGCCCCAGAGGGAGCCGTGGGACCCGAGCCCGAGAGCTGAAGCGAGGGGGCCCGCGGAGCGGCAGTCGGGCTGGGGCGTCCCAGGTGGAAGCTGCTAGCGTTGCGGCCCCCTGCAGAGGGGCAGCGCGTCCGGAGGGCGAGCGGGCGGCAAGAGCCCGCCGAGGCACGGCCAGGCGGGGATCCAGCCCAGGCCCGCCCCGACCGACCGGGACCGGGACCGGGACAGGCCGCAAACACCGCCCGGTGGGCTGCGAGTCACCCCGGCCAGAGGCGCGGCGACAGGCTGGAGGGAGGCACTGACGCTGCGGGACCCCGAGCGGCTGACTTCATCTTTCTGTGCCTCGGTTTCCCCATCCGTAAAAAGGGGCCCGTGCTGGCCTTGCAGTGTTGTTGAAGGGGTAAACTGAGGTTAGATTTCCTTTCCCTTCGCACCTCCCCACGTGGGGGGGAGGGGGAAGCGGACTGTCCCGAGGGACGGTCTCAGAGCGGCCGGCCCACCCTACTGCCCTGTCCAGGCCCAGACCCGGCGGCCAAGACGGTCTGCCGCGGCCGGAGCTCGGCCGGCCGGGCCTGCTGCCCGCGACGCCCTGCGCTCCGCTCCCCCGCCCCGCCGGCGCCTGCCGGACTCTCCCAGGCACGGCCACAAGGTGGCGCGCGGCGGCTGCAGGAGCCGCGCTGGGGGCGGGGCCCGCTGGGAGCGCGGACGGGCGGCAGTGACCCGCCAGCCCACACCGTCCAGCGGGGCGAGGCGTGGGTGTTTGTGTCTGTGTATCCAGACACTAAGGGACCTTGGGGACTCGCCGCGTCCTGTCCCCCCTCCCCCTGGGACTGCCTGGACGCGCAACGCAGGGAGCTCGCAGGCCGTTATTCCCCCATTTCACAGACGCCAAAACTGACGCCCAGAGAAGGAAGTCACCCGCTGAGGCCGTCTGGCTAATAAGAGGCAGAGCTGGGCTCAAGCCGGGATCTGCTTGGCCTCGGGGCGGTGCTTTTCCCACCGCGTGGAGAGGGGCTTCTACGCGGTGGTGGGCTCCTGGTGTGCGTGAGGGGCAAAAAACTGGAGGTGGATTTGGGGGTGGGGAGGGTCCCAGAAAACAAGGAGCAACCACCACGCTGGAGGGAACGAGGCTCGAGGGTGGGGACGGACGGGTGGGCACTGTGGACCAGGGGCCTGTCCACCAGGGCTTTGGTTCCCTCTCTGAGCCCCTGGGGCCCGGGCCGAGGCACTTCCCCTGTGGCAGGACCAGGTGCCCACAGCTCCCTCCCCTGCACCTCCCCTCCCCGTGCCCCTCCTTCCGGCCTGGAGCAGTGGCTGCTGCAGACTCTCCAGGCCGTGTGCCCTCGTGTCAGGGACATCAGGGACATCCTGGAGCCCAGGGCATGCGTGGGCTGAGTCAGTGGTTACTGAACTGGGCCAAGCAGGGATGCGCTGGCAGGGGCAGTTGCTCATTTCAGGAAAGTCCCTTCAGCGAGAGGATTCACCCTCCACTGGAGCTGAGGGCAGCAGCAGAATGGACTGTTGTTTCATGCTGTAGTGCCTTTGAGATGACCTGGGTTGCTGGGTCCAGGTGCCCTTGAAGAACCCCTCCTCGCCATTCAAACAGCATTCCCTTGTCCAGCCTAGAGGCCGACCTGGAGCAAGCAAACATTGAGTGCAGCAGGAAACTGTAAGGTTAGACAACGAGAGGGACTTGCAGGCAAGGGCGAGGAGAGCCTGCTTAGAACTGCTGTTTGGTAGAACAGGGCAGCCTTGGATTGCAGTGAGTTTTCAGAAGTTGCAAATAGCAGAGGCAAAGATCAAAGTCAAAGGGGAGAGATGGAAGGCCAGTGTGTGGAGGGTGGAGGGCGGAGGGAAGTGGGGGCTGCGTGGTGCAGGGCCGAGGGGCTTAAATCCTATGGTAAGGGCGATGGTGGGAGTGGCCCAGGGGCTGTACATGGCAGGGCAGGAAGGGGGGGCCAAGAGAGCTGCTGGGAGCTGGGGGTTGAATGTGGGGGGTGGGGGTGCTCTGGTCCAGGTGGGGAGCCCTGGGAAGCAGCAGGTTGGGGGAGCAAGCCTGGTGGGGGGCCTGGGGCTCCTGCACAACAGAGACAGGGGCTGGGGGGCTGCTGGCTGTGCAGGCCTGGGCGGGAGAGGTGGGGGAACTGAGGGCGGGGAGCAGCTGGCATCACCTGGGAGAAGTGAATCCTGAGCGGCCCCCAGGACAGAGGTTTCTCCAAGCCGGCAGGCAGGGGAGGGGGGGAGAGCATGGTGGGCGCCTGGTCAGCGGGGCAGCCCTGCAGGGCCCGAGCACCAGCTAGAGCCCGAGCCCGGCCTGGGGCTGCTGTCTGGAGAGGCAGGCGGGTCAGACCCTCCCTCCAGCCTGAGGTGGAGCAGCTGGGGAGGCGGGAGGGAGGAGGCGGGGAGTGAGGGAGGGCCGGGCCTCTGTCCATGGCATTAGTGCTGGTTGGAGGGACGAGGGGGGTGCGAGCCAGCCAGGCCGCCGGCCGTTCCCACAGCAGCGAGCAGAGCGGGCTGCCATGGCGCTGGCCCGGCCTGGGACCCGGAGCCCCAGGACCCCAGCCCCTGTCCTGCTGCTGCTGCTGCTGCTCCTCCTCGGGGCCCTCCTGGCTGGTGAGTTGGGGCTCAGGTCTTGGTGGGGGCCGGGGAGGGTCTGCCCCCCAAGGGGCTGGGGGGGGTCTGTCCATGTGGGTGCCAGGCTGGACAGTGGGGTGCACTGCTTTGGGCCACTGTGACTCTGTGTGGCTCCGAGGAGGTGAGCGTGCTCTGGGACTGGGGGGCTGTGGTGTGTTGAGGGGCTTGGCGGGTGGCGGGGCCCAGGGTGGGTGTGATTGGGGGAGCTGATCTGGGTGAGGGCCCAGTGTGTATCTTGGGAAATGCTGTGTGTCCTGCTGCTCTGTCTCCTGGTGGGGGCAGTCCCAGTGTGAGCGGCTGAGTTTGGGGAGCCGCAGGTGGCACGTGCCCTCCTCAGTCTGTTCTGAGCGCGGGCTGTGGGGCAGGTGGCGGGCGTGTGAGAGCTGTGGGCCGAGTGAGCTGTGAGCTGCGTCTGGGTGTCTGGGCGTTGTGTTCCAGCGCAGGTCGTGGGGCACAGGCTGCCCCGGGGGCCGGACTGGGACTGTGCTGCCCACATGAGGCTGTGGGGGCTGCAGACCCCACGCAGTGGAGGGGAGAAGGGGAAGGAGACCGGGGAGCTGGGCATCTGCCTGCACCCCCCATTTGTGTGGCAGCCCTGCCTGCTCTGGGGGAGGGATGCTAGGGATGTTCTGGGTCCTGGGGTGGCTGGGGATTTGGGAACACTTGTGTCCCTGCTGCCCCCCCCGCCCCAGCATTCCCAGATCAAGCAGAAAGGGCTCCCTGACGCCGGATCCCCGTTTGTCCACCAAGTGGTTTTTGCTTTTGTCCAAGTGGATTCAAACAACCCAGGGGAGCCTGGAATTCCTGCTGGGGTCTTCAGGACGCCTGGGTCTCGGTCACTATAGCCACGGGGCCAGGCCTGGGAAGGCCCCTGTCCCCACCCCCACTGGCTGAGGAGGGAGCCAAGGAGGGCCTGGGCTCCCCTGTGGCTGGGGGTCCCCCACCTCAGAGCTCTGCAGACTGCAGGGTGTGGGGGTCACGCCTTTCCAGGTCCCTACCTGGGCTTTCCTGGGGCGCTCACAAAGCTCTCATTTCCTGTTCCGCTCATTGAGGGAGGATGAGGACCCCATTTTCTAGTGAAGGAAGCCACGGCTCAGGGAGGGATGGGGACTTGTGGGCTGGCCTGCCCCAGGCGACTGGGGCTCCAGAGAGGAGCTGCGGCTGCTCTCTGCTGTCTGCACACGAAGGGTGTGACCTGCTGGTCTGTGGATCCGGTGTCCAGCCCCTGCCCGGCACTGCACACACCTGCGCACACACCCACACACCGCACCCCGTGTGGCCTGCACAGGGGCGCGCACCACCACTTGTAGATCCACCATCACGTGCATGTATACACGCACATCTACGTACGCACGCCAATGTGTGCATGTTGACATGCGCTTTCACACTCAATATACACTCACTCGAACCTTGAGGCACAGTGGGACGACACGGGCCGATGCTGCAAAGGGAGCACCCATGCGGCCCTGCCGGGGTTCCCGGGGGCAGCTTCCCACCTGCAGTTCCTGTGCAGGAAGCCCCAGTCCTGGGGATCCCCGGCAGTGAGACAGGGGTACCGTAGGCACGACCATTTCTGGATGCCAGGCCCCAAGGCCTGCCTGCCAGGAGGGGAGGGGCCGGGGACTGTGTCACTTGAGAACCAATTTCCATCTCAGAGCTGGTGGGGGTTCCTGGGGTTCCTGGAGGCCCTGGGCCCCTGGCTCGGCTGCCCACCCCTGCCAGGCCCAGAGCTGGGCCCCTCTATCCTGGGCCCAATTTGCCACAAAGGCCAGCTGGTTGCCATGGAGAGCACCAAGCATCTTGGAGTACAATGGGGCACGTTGGGCTCATATCCACCCCCCTTCTCCCCCGAACACCCAGGGAGCCCAGCAGACAAAGGGGCAGTGAGTCCAGTCCCCAGGTCTGCCCCTCCTCCAGCCAGAAAGGGGGAGGGGGCCTACGGGACAGAGGCAGGGATCGAGGGGAAGCCACACACATTTGCCCCAATTTCAGGATCTTGGGGATAGTGGTGTTGGCCTCGAGTAAAGATTTTTGCTGAGGAATGAATAAGGGCAGTCTACGCGGTGGGCTCTGATATCCCCAGTTTCGAGAGGAGGCCACGAGGCCCAGGGAGGGTCAGCAACTCGCCCAGAGTCGCAGACCAGTGTGCGGCAGGGCTGGGGTTCAGCCCACATAAAGTCTTGTCTCTTCTCTGGGCCTCTGCAAAATGGGCACAGGCCGGCTCCATGCGAGGGCTGGTGTAAGGATTCCACGACACAACGCGGAGGTCTCCGGCTTAGGCCTTGGCAGGCAACCCCCAGTGTCAAATGGGATTTTAGAGGGAAGCCCATCGACGGTTAACAGTAAAATAGTTCAAAGTGGTCTGTTCAGGTGGCAGGTCCGGACCCCACCTGCTCTGTCTGCCCCTCACTGGTCACTCCAGGCCGCTGTGCTCCGAGGCCACAGCCTGGAAACGTGCCAGGCACAGGGTAGGCGCTCGATCCACGACAGCTATTGTTGCAATTACTGTTATCAAAATCATGCCTTTTAACCTAGGGGTAAACAGTTTTGGAAAAAATATTCGCCCTTTCCTGGTGACTCTGAGTCAGTGTTTGTAGACCTCTATTGTGGTGTGTTCTGGTAGGGTGTTACTCAGCCCTACCCCTTGGGGCCCAGTGATATTAGATGGACAGTTTTGCACCCGATGCTAGAAGCTCCTATACCATATGAGATCTCAGGTCACTTCTTAGAAATATTCTCTCTCTTGCCTTGTCAAGACAGGAAGCTTCCCCAATTTCACCCTCCATAAAGCACTTCTCTCAGTTATAACTAGACCTGTTATAAGTGCACATAAAGCAGGAGTTACTAAGCACTGAGTGAGTCCTGGAGCACAGCGGGATAGCTAACGGCTGGGTTCTGGATAGGCAGGGAGGATTGCCTGCTCTACCCAGGCTGATGCTGGAACCTCTACTTTTGTGTAAACCTTCTTGGAGCCTGGGTGAGGCAGCTGGAATGTACTAAAATGACAATGCCTGGGTGGCAGTTTAGAGTTTACAAAGCGGAAATTTCACATGCATTGGGAGATACGAACTGCTCAGAAATCAGGAGACACTCTGATTCTTAGTTTCAACCTTGGCAAGCATATCAACATCTTTGAATTAAAAAAACAAATTTTCTTAACAGCACACTCACTTCTTCTAGCCTGAATCAAATACAACAATGTAACAACAGATGCGCGGCCCTGAGCACATAGTACACACTCATTAAACGGCGGCGGTCCTCCTGCCCTCCCCACCGCGGGGCGGCAGGTTGAAGGGGTGGGGCGGATGTCTGTTAATCCCTCCCCTGCCAGGTCAGCCCAGGCAGTCTGAGAGGTCAGGAGGGATTTGTAAAGATAAGCACAGGCCCCTCGTTGCCCTGGCAACAGGCTCCGCCCTCCAGCCTGGCCAGGGACAGCCCGTCCTCCTCGCCCCACTGCCTTCCACCACCCCCTCTTGCCTCTCCCCCTCCGCCCTGGGCTAGCCGGCCTCCTGGGCGAACTCCTGGAAGACAGGCAACCCGAGGTCGGCGGTTCCCACACCTCAACGTGCAAAGGAATCCCCAGCGAGGGGCTGCAATGCAGACTTCCAGGCCCAGTGCTTTTCCATTCTAGGTCTGGAGCAGGCCCAGGCATTGGTGTTCTTAACATGGGCCTAGTGATTCTGGAAATGCTGGCGTGGGGGCTCTGGAGCTGGAGCACTGGGTTCAGATTGCAGCCCCTCGTGGGCCATGGGACTGTGAGGCTGCTCCAGCTCTGAGCCTCACTTCCCTCCGCTTCAAAGAGGGAGTCATAGTGCCATCCAGCTCATGAGGAAAATACCAGGAGTAGCTGAGATTACACAAGAAACACGGTTGTCTCACACAGGCAGGCCCCTGGCGCTACTGCATGTCTCCTGGGACGGGCAGCTCCCTCCTTCCCTGCCTGGCTCTGACTGAAGAAACTACCTCCTCCTGCCAGGCTGGACTCTGTCATTTAGGTCATTTAGAGTCACAGCCCATCTGCTGTTCCCACAGCCCTGGGAGGACCCCCAAGGTGGGCAGACTGTGATGCAGTGTCTCCCCAACAAAGCTCCAGACTGGATGGGGGGCCCTTCTGCCACCCAGCTGAGGGGCCTGTTGGCACGGGACCCAGCAGCCAGGGCCCTTCCCGATGGGGGCTGTGCCTGCTGACCTCGGGCATGCGTGGGGTGCACTGCCTCTCACCGAGGGCCCACCTGGCTGCACAAGCACCCCTTTGGTGGCCCTCACGGTGCCCCCACGAGGTGGGCACTGTTTGTACCCCAGATACAACCTAGGTCTGCCTGATGCCCCAAACCTGTGCCTTCTCCTGAGGGAGCTCTAGGGGGCAGCCAGGCCAGAGGACAGCCTGCCTGGTGGAATGCGGATGACGCCGGAGAGGCTGCCAGTCTTATCTGGGGGTCCTCACCAGTGGGGGAGGGGAGGGTGCAGGGTCTGGGGCCTGGTTAGTGTCTGGATGACAACCTGGGCTGGGGAGGGCGCCCCTGAGAGCTCCAGGTGCGAGGGTGGGGGAGGGGGAGGGGCATGTGCCTCCTCCTGCCAGGTTATTTACTGAGTCCTGCAGTACTTGCCTGTGTGCCCGAGGCTTTGAACCCTCCAGCATTTCACATCCCAGTAGGAAGAATGACTTGCCCAGGGTCTCAGAGCTAACAATTTTCTGAGCTATTAATAGAATCTGAACTCAGGGCTGTTTTGCATCAAAGCCCGAGTTCTTGTCTGGGCATTCTGGTGACAAGGTTCTCAGGAAGGGAGGAGGGAAGGATGGGGAGGCAGGCTGTCTGGGCTGGGCTTCCAAACCCCTCGGTCACCCTCTAATGGTAGGGGGGGGGGAGACTGGGAGTGGCAGCAGCAATGCAGCAGCGGGAGGCAGGGTTGGGTGAGCAGGTCTCAATACCTGCTCCGTACCATGTGGCCTCGGTGGGGCCAGCCGCTCAGGCAGTGGCTAATGGGGGATGAAATGAGGGTCAGGGACCCTCTGGACGTTCCCAGGCCCGAAGCGGGGGAGGAGGAGAGGGGTGGGAAGGAGAGGGGCTGAGCACAGGGCCTGGCCTTTGAAGTCGGCAGTCTGTCCTGGCAGGGCTGAGGTCTGAGGTCGGGCCTATCTCCAGTTTCACGCAGGGATGGAGTTACCAGACCCCCAGCAGGAGGAGTGGGGGCAGTGGGCCGCCCCCTCCCCTCCTGCAGGCTGACCCCCTCACGCTCCCAGGCCTCCTGCAAGGCATGAGGCCTGCAGAAGGGGAGACCCAGAGGAGACCCCTCCCCAGGTGGGCCTGAACCACCCCAGACAGACCTTGAAGCCACATACCCCTGGTCCTATTTCTGTGCTGTGTAGACATCCCTAAAACTGGTCCCAGTTTCAAGTGTCGGTGTGTGCAGCTTGTTGGGACCTGGCTTGTAGACCCCTGGCCCTCTGTCCGTCCTCCTGAGCATGAACAGACTTGTGTTGCTTCCAGGGCCTGAGCTTGGGCCTGAGGGTGGGGAGTGTCCTGGTACCCCCTGCCCACCATGCCCAGCTGGTTTCCTCTTTCTGCAGGGACGGTGCCTTCAGAGCCCCTGAGTCCCTGTGCCTCAGACCCGTGTGCTCCAGGGACCCAGTGCCAGGCTACAGACAGCGGCGGCTACACCTGTGGGCCCACGGAGTCCCGGGGCTGTGACAGCCAGCCATGCCACCACGGCGCTCTGTGTGTGCCCCTGGGTCCAGATCCCAGCGACTTCCGCTGCTACTGCGTGCCCGGTTTCCAGGGCCCACACTGCGAGCTGGACATCGATGAGTGTGCATCCCGGCCCTGCCACCGTGGGGCCACCTGCCGCAACCTGGCCGATCGCTATGAGTGCCACTGCCCCCTCGGCTATGCAGGTAATGGCCCGCGCCGCCCCAGGAGGAGGTCTGTAATGTCAACCCCATTAGCAGCTCCGAGTACACATGTTGGATTCGGCTTTGACTTTAGTGTAGAAACGCCCCCAGGCATCCCGGCAGCTCTGGGGTGTACACACTCTTAGTCTTACCGCAGGACTGACGCTTCCTGGGCTCACCTGGCAGTTCTGGACGAGAGTGCGCATGTGCGGGCGCAGGCGCGGTGCCTACTCCACGTTATTTCAGCCCCGTCTACAGAGCTGTTTGGCTCTGGGGGTGGCGACTCCCCTCAGGCAACTCTGGCAGTGCAGACATGCCTGGTATGGCTTTAATGAGGTACCCAGACAGTCTTTCTAGCACTTACTCGCTCCAGACCTGTGTCAAGCTGTCAGGTAGACACTGTCTGGCTCACCCGACGGTTCTGGAGTATGAACACCCTTGGTGTGGTTTGGGATGAAATGTGGACCCCTCTCCCCTCTGGGTGTCCCCCAGATTTCTAGCATAGAGACACTCGTGGTCTTGTTCCAGTTGGAATACAGATGTTCCCCCAGGGGCCCCGGCTGTCTGCGGAATAACCTACACAGCGCGCAGCAGCGGCCAGCGCTGAGCACGCGTTAGTTCCCTGGCCCGGCAGTCTGGCCTGTCCCGGCCCGTCCGCAGGAGCACCCTGGAGCTATTTCCTCCTGAAGTCGGGAAGGAGGGTGCAGCTCGGGTCAGGTCTGGAGTCTGCAGTGTAGACACTCTGGGGGTGTAGACACTACTTCAATCCTGAATTCAGACAACTCCACTCTGAGCAAGGGGTAGAGTCTGGGGGGCTGTTCTGGGGGGCGTATAGTGAAAAGAATGAATGTGGGTTTTGGAAATGGGTTCCTTGCACCTTTCTCCCCGTCTCAGTGTCTGGGTGTGTTAGTTGTGTGGTGTGAGTGTGGGCCGTTTGTGTGTCTGCCAGCATCTGCAGGGGGTCTCGCTCCATGAATGCGTGTGAGAAGCGTGCGCGTGTGCGAGCCGTAGGTGTGTGTGCACTGGATGTGTGGTGCCCACACTCCGGGTAAGTCTTTCTGGGTGAGCCGGGGATGTGAGTGGGGGCAGTGTCTGCTGTGACTCACTTCTCTCCTCCTCCTTCCATTCCGAGCGAGCCGGGTGGGGGAGGCTGGGATTCCTGCAGCCTGGGCCTGGCTCCCCCTGGTACAAAGGGCCCGAGTGGGGCCGGGGTGGGAGGAGGGAGGGGCCGTGTTTTGTGCTCACTGTGCCGGGAAGGGGAGGATTCCAGCTGGAGTCAGCTGGTCCCTGCCCCCCAGGACCAAACTCACCGAGGGGCAGGGGCAGGGCCCACTGGAGTCGCCAGCGACCTGTGAGCTCCAGGATGATCTTGGGCAGTGCATCTCCACACTCTGAGACTATCTCCCTTCATCTCCACCTCCAGCCTGCGAGGTCCACTCAACCATCTTGGTTTGCCCAGGACTGTGAGGGTTTCCCAGACTTGGGACAGCTCAGTTTTCAAACCAAGGCAGTGCAGGAAACCAGGAGAGGCTGGTTCCCTGCTCTATCATTTCCCGCTGGCGGTTTTTGCAGCACTCTTCCCCGAGGGCCTTCTAAAATATAAGTAGGACCACAACATCACTCACCTGCTTGAAGCTTGCGGGATGAGCCCAGAGTCTGGTTCCTGGGCCCCAGGGCCCTGCCCCCGGCTTGCTCCTGAGCCTCCAGAAAGCTCCTTGGAGGGCACCATGGCCCCGCCCCAGGCAGGACGTGACCACCGCTATGGCAATGTCTCTTTGAAATGCAATTGGCGCCATAGTCCCCTATCCAAGTCCTTCAAAAGCCTCTTCTTCCAAGAGGCCTTCCCTGACCAGTCCAGGGCCCAGCTCTTGCCGCCCCAGGACCCAGTTCTTCCCCTTGTTGAGTGAGCAGTATAAACACTAGTCTTCATTTCTGCAATTACTGACCGAATCCCCGGCCCTGGCCTGGACTGCTGTGAACTGCGCGAGGGCCGGGATGTCTGTCCGGTTTCTGCCCACCTGCCGCTGTGGCGCACGAAACGCCTGCTCTGAACGAATGCACAGCGAGCCTCTCTTTAGAGCCTCCCCTTTCGCTCCCTCCAAGTCTGGAGCCTTTGGGGTCGGCCTCACTCGGCCTCCCCGCCCTCCTCTGGTGTCCATCTCGCGGCCTCTGTGTCCCCGGCCCTGTGCAGGCGTGACCTGCGAGGCCGAGGTGGACGAGTGCGCGTCGGCGCCCTGCCTGCATGGGGGCTCGTGCCTGGACGGCGTGGGCTCCTACCGCTGCGTGTGCGCGCCGGGCTACGGGGGCGCCCGCTGCCAGCTGGACCTCGACGAGTGCCAGAGCCAGCCCTGCGCGCACGGGGGCGCGTGCCACGACCTGGTCAACGGGTGAGCGAGCGGCCGGGCGTGGGGTGCCCGAGGCGGGGCCGGGATGCCGAGCGGGAGGGCGCTGGGCTGGGGGCGGGCGCGCGCTCAGCCCTGGACGCGCCCCCGCCCCAGGTTCCGGTGCGACTGCGCGGACACGGGCTACGAGGGCGCGCGCTGCGAGCAGGAAGTGCTGGAGTGCGCGTCGGAACCCTGCGCGCACAACGCGTCCTGCCTCGAGGGCCTCGGGAGCTTCCGCTGCCTCTGCTGGCCAGGTGCGTGCGTGCGCGTGCGCGGCCCGGGCGGCGGGGCAGGTGTGCACGCCCGCGCGTCCTCGGAGCGGCCTCTGTGTGTGTCTCGGCAACCTCAGCCTCAGTTTCCTGGTCTGCAAAATCGGGCCTATAATAGCACCTGCTCCTAGGGTGCTGTGAGGAGAGCGAAGGTGCAATGCTCGGGAGCACTTGGCACAGGGCCTGTCACCTGCCCAGGGCCCAGTAAAGCCAGTAACAATAGTAATGTGCTGCTGCCACCCAAGGCTGCACGGTCATTCCTAACCCCCAATGAGTCCCTTCTTCACTGTTGGTGACTATATTCTGAGCTGTCGCTGTTGTCTGGCCCTGGACTGGCTTGGTGACAGTATAAGAGTGCTGCCTGGCGACCCCACGTGACCTAATGCGCGCGTGTGTGCGCCCCCAGGCTACAGCGGCGAGCTGTGCGAGGTGGACGAGGACGAGTGTGCAGCGGGCCCCTGCCAGCACGGGGGCCGGTGCCTGCAGCGCTCCGACCCAGCCCTCTACGGGGGCGTCCAGGCCGCCTTCCCCGGCGCCTTCAGCTTCCGCCACGCCGCGGGCTTCCTGTGCCACTGCCCTCCCGGCTTTGAGGGTGAGCCTCCTGCTGGGGAAGTGGTCACCAGTGTCCAGGTGCACAGGGAGGGACCCCGGGCAGCCTCAAGGACTGGCCCTGCTGCACATCTTGTGCCGCCCTGCCTGAGTCAATGCCTCTCTCTGGGCCTCAGTCTCCCTAGCTGTAAAACGGACCCCTCCAGCTCTGGTCTGGCTCTGAGAGTGCAGGTGGAGCCACAGCTGGGCCTCTTGCAGGGGACGACTGCAGCGTGGACGTTGATGAGTGTGCCTCACAGCCATGCCTCAACGGAGGCCGCTGCCAGGACCTGCCCAACGGCTTCCAGTGTCATTGCCAGGATGGCTACGCAGGTGGCTGGGGTCAGGCGGGCACTGGGACAGGGCAAAAGAGGATGGGTATTGGGCCTGGGTGAGAAGTTTCCTTCTGTCTGATGTGTGGATTGGTGGGGACAAGGAGATCAGGGAGGAGGTGGGTGTGGTGGCCCAGGTGACAGCTGAGGGTGATTGAGCTGGGACTTGCTTTGGAGAGGAGGGGACTGATTGGTTTGAGAAATATTTAGGAGGGACACTGTGTGAGTGGAGGTGTAGGGAGGACAGAGGACAGAGGCAGCTCAGCCAGGACAGAGGAGGAAAAGGGGCCAAGTGTAGAAGGGTGAGCTTGACATTTGGGGGGCTGGGGCTTGTTGGGCAGGAGTTGGGGTGCAGAACGTCTCTCCCTGCCTTGGGGACTGGGGATGCACAGACACAGGAGACTGGTGAACAGAGGAACTACACACACCTCACCGAGTGTCCCTGCCCCCTCTGGAATGCCTGTGACGCCTCCCCCATGCCGCCTGCATTCCTGCTCGGGCACCCCCCTCCCTGGCAGGTTCCTGGGCACAGGCTCCTCCACCCGGGGAAGGAGGTCGTGATCCTCACCATCCCCCCCACCCTCACTCACCTAAAGGTGCTTGGGCTCAGCATCCTCCATCCTGGTTGGCCAACCGCCCTGGGGGTCCTGCAAGCCTGTCCCCTGCCCCCATGGGCCGAGGTTCCCTGGGTCCTGCCCCAGGAGTAGTGGCCTCGTGGGTGCCTGGCACACAGGGGGCCCACATGGCAAGCCTGGCCTCTGGAAAGCATCTGCTGTGTGTTTTTTCTTGCCTGCCCCAGCCCCATGAAGCAGGGGTTTAAAATCCCCATCTTACAGGTGAGGAATGGAGGCTTCGAGAGGGGGTGTCATGCCCCAGGTTCACCATGTCAGCGAGAACCTGGCTCCTCTCCCGGTGGAGCTCAGCTAGGGGGTGACAGGGAGGGCAGATCTCTGAGGTCAGGGCCAGGGAGGGGGACCCTGGCTGCAGGGCTGGGCTCCCTGCCCATCCTCCCTTTGGGCAGCCCCTGGCGAGGGGAGGCAGTGCCTGGCATTCCTGAGCCAGCTGCGAAGGCGGCAGTCGGCAGTCGGGGCAGGCGGGGAGCTCTGCTCCCCAGCCTCAGCGCCCACCCACCGCTCTCAGCCCATTTGTGGGGGATGCGATGGGGGTGCGGGCTCTGTGCGCCTTCCTGGAGGGGCTGTGGCTCCTGGCAGGTACGCAGGACTGGGGCCTCGGCAGGGGAGGCTGGGGTTGGTGGCTGGCTGTTCCCAGGGGGCTGCAGTGTTTGTGGGCGGACTGAGGCCAGGCTTCAAATCCTGGTGGCTTCTCTGGGCCTGGGTTCCTCCTCCTGGGATGTGGGGGCAGGGCTGGCCTTGGTTTGTTTTGTGGAGACCCTGGCCGAGCTGGAGTTGGGCTGTGGCCGCATGACCCAAGTGGGGGCCAGAGCTCCTGAAAGGGAGATGAGGAGGCCCCTTCATGCCACCATGGGACCCTAGGGCAGAGGGCCTGAGGGGTGAGAGCCTGGGGGCTACTCAGAGTGTCACAGATCCATACACCCACCCCCACTCACTCCATTTCATCACTCTGTTCACAAAAGCCATGCTAGGCCCTTTGCAGGCCCCTGAAGGAGATCCCAGCTGAGTAAACAGATACTTTCAATGTGAGGTTGAGGGGAGCTGTGCCTGGGAGTGGATAGTGACAGTAATTTGGAGGTGGGAGTCAGGGAAAGCCTCTGGGCTTTTTAGTTTGGGCTTTGCAGGATGAGTAGGAGTTTGAAAGTCAAGGTAAGGGAGAATGAGGCATTCCAAGCAGAAGGAACACTATGAGCAGAGCCCTGGAGGCAGGACTTTCCAGGAAATGCTTCAGGGAATGGGCCGTTGAAGGTTTGTAGGAAGCAGGGTTGAGGCTTCAGAGCCTGGTAGGGTCCAGCCCATGAGGGGGTCTTGAATGCCAGGGTGAGTGATTGGACCTTCAGCAGCAGAGGAATGTGGCCAGGTGATGTTTTGGGGCCCTGCTAACTGGTGGCGATGGGTGGGAGGGGGCTTCTGAAGGTAGGTGAACTGGAGGATGCTGGGCCCTGGTCCAGAGAGCCGGCAAGGCAGGTGTGGGGTGGGAGAAAACGGGGACTAGAGAGTTTAGGAGATCAAATCCACAGGGCTGGATTCTGGCCTGGGTGCTGCAGGGGACCCTGAGAAATCCCTTGGGAACGGATTTGGTTGATAGGTACTGAGGTCCCCATCACAGGAGGCATGTAAGTTCTGGGTCAAGACTTTGCCGGTTCTGTCCCTGGGTGCTACTGAGTCTTGGCCTGGTCTCTCCTAAAGGCCTGGTGTGTCAGGAAGATGTGGACGAATGCCTCTTGGATCCCTGCCTCCACGGTGGAACCTGCGAGGACACCATGGCCGGCTACAGCTGCCGGTGCCCAGAGGCTTGGGGCGGGCTCGACTGTTCTGTGCAGCTCACTGGCTGCCAGGGCCACACCTGTCCGCCGGCTGCCACCTGCATCCCTGTCTTCGAGTCTGGGGTCCACAGCTATGTCTGCCTCTGCCCACCTGGCACGCACGGACCTTTGTGTGGCCAGGATACTACCTTCTCCCTGGTGGCAGGGAGCCCTGTGCAGGCATCGGTGCCCACTGGCGGCCCCCTGGGTCTGGCACTGAGGTTTCGCACTACGCTGCCCACTGGGGCCTTGGCCACTCGCGCTGGCACCCAGGACAGCTTGGAGCTGGCCCTGGTGGGGGCTGCACTTCAGGCCACACTCTGGAGCCACGGCACCACTGCACTCGTCCTGAGACTGCCGGACTTGGCCCTGAACGATGGCCACTGGCACCGGGTGGAGGTGGCGCTCCGCCCAGGGACCCTGGAGCTGCGGCTGTGGCATGAGGGCTGCCCTGCCCAGCTCTGTGTGGCCTCTGGTCCTGTGGCCCTGGCTCCCACGGCTTCGGCGGCCCCGCTGCCCGCAGGGCTGTCCTCTGCCCAGCTGGGCGGCGCGGCCTTCGCCGGCTGCCTCCAGGACGTGCGAGTGGATGGGCACCTCCTGCTGCCTGAGCACCTCGGCGGGAACGTCCTCGCGGGCTGCGAGCGCCGCGAGCAGTGCCGGCCTCTGCCTTGCGCCCACGGAGGGGCCTGCGTGGACCTGTGGACTCATTTCCGTTGCGACTGCCCCAGGCCTCACAGCGGCCCCACGTGCGCCGACGGTGAGGGCCGAGCGAGGCGGGAAGGCAGCACCTGAAGTCGGCGCCCCCAGCCGGCAGGCCTCACAGCCGCACCCTCTCTCCCTGCAGAGATCCCCGCCGCCACCTTTGGCTTGGGGGGCGCCCTGAGCTTTGCCTCCTTTCTGCTCCAAGAGCCGCCAGGCCCCAACCTCACCGTGTCCTTCTTCTTTCGCACTCGGAAGCCCGCCGGCCTGCTGCTCCAGTTCGCCAACGACTCGGCAGCCGGCCTGACCGTGTTCCTGAGCGAGGGTCAGATCCGGGTGGAGGCGCCGGGCAGTCCTGTTGTGGAGCTCCCCGGGCGCTTGGATGATGGCTTCCGCCACCTGGTGACGCTCAGCTTTGGGCCCGACCAGCTGCAGGACCTGGGGCAGCAGGTGCACGTGGGTGGGAGGCCTCTCCCTGCTGACAGCCAGCCCTGGGGCGGGCCCTTCCAAGGCTGCCTCCAGGACCTGCGACTCAATGGCCACCACCTCCTCTTCTTTCCTCTGAGGCCACTGGAGAACTCAAGCCAGCCAGCCGGCGAGCTTGGTGGCAGGCAGCTCCAGAACCTCACCATGGGCTGCGTCTCTGAGGACACGTGCAGTGTAAGTCGCCCAGATCTATTTGCCCTGTGTCACGGGGGGTTAGCATGTCCTTTTGCTGATGAGGAAACCGAGGCTAAGGTGAAGTGACCTGCCATGGTCCCACTGCTGCAGAGTGGCATAGCAGGATTTGCATTTACCTCCTGTCCGCCCAGCTGCTCTTACCCTGTGGTGGTCCCTGTGCCTCCCTCACCCAGTCCTGGCCTGAGATGGACACCCTGACCAGACAGAGGGCTGCCTGAGCCTTTCCGTAGGAGCTCCTTGGGAGACAGGGACACCCATGTAATCATGATCAAAGTTCCACCAGCCCTGCAATAGGAAGAGCCTGGGCATGAACTCAGGTTTCTCTCTTTGCTGGCTGGGTGATTCAGGCAAGTGTTTTCACCTCTCCGAGCCTCGGTTTCCTCATCTGTAAAATGGGGATGACAGTGGCTTCCTCTCCACTTGTCTGTGAGGAGATAATGTGCCTGTAGCAGATGCTCAGTGAAGAGCCACTGCGCTGATGGTGGCGGTGGGCCGATGCTGACTGCAGGCCTGAGCCAACCCTGCCCTGACTCTCCCAAAGCCTGACCCCTGTTTCAACGGCGGGACTTGCCTTGTTACCTGGAATGACTTCCACTGCACCTGCCCTGCCAACTTCACAGGGCCCACGTGTGCCCAGCAGCTGTGGTGCCCCGGCCAGCCCTGTCTCCCACCGGCCACCTGCGAGGAGGTCCCTGATGGCTTTGTCTGTGAGTGTGTGTCCCGGGCAGCCCACGTGCTGGGTGCTGAACCCCCAAGCTGGTTGGGTCCCATCCTCACTCTCGGGTCTCACGGGATGTTGGCCGGTGGACCAGGAAGGCCGACAGCCCAGCCCAATGCGGTGGAGCCGGCGCACCCAGAGGGAGAGAGTTCCCGGAGGAGGCGAGCACGTGCTGGGTCTTCAAGGGCAAACTCTGGGGGGCCACAGGGAAGGGCATTTCAGGGAGCGGGAACAGCATGTGCAAAGCTCCTGAGGCCTGTAACAGCTGAAAGCCAAGTTTGAGAAGGGTTGCGGCAGGAAATGGGGAGAAGTTGGCAGGGGCTTCGAATGCCCGGCTGGGCAGCTTGGACTTCATCCCAAGGGCAGTGGGAGCCACAGGAGGGGTTTAAGCAGGAGAGGACATGATCAGATCTGCATCTTAAAAAGACGACTGGCTGCAGTGATGAGGTGGGGCAGTGTCGTGGAGGGAAGGGGCAGAGTTTTGAGGGGTAAATATTGCCCGGCCTGGCACCTGGAGGGTAGTGAGGCCATGGTGGTCCCTCCAGCACTGGCCCAGAACGGTTCTGCAGAGGTAGGGACGCAGGAGGGGGTGGGAGTGAGGGCGGTGGCTGCAGCTGCAGTTTCCGAGATTAGGTGGCGGGCGGGTGCGTGTGCTCCCTCCATGGGCCCGGGGAGTGGGCGGCAGATGGCACCAGCCGCTTGCTGGAGAAGGCTCCAGGAGGCCGTTCCCTGACGCGCTCTCTCCCCGCAGGTGTGGCCGAGGCCACGTTCCACGAGGGCCCCCCTGCCGCGTTCAGCGGGCACAACGTGTCGTCGGGGCGCTGGCTCAGCGGCGTCTCGCTGGCGTTCCGCACGCGCGACCGCGAGGCCTGGCTGCTGCGGGCCGCGGCGGGCGCCCAGGCCGGCGTGTGGCTGGCGGTGCGCAACGGCTCGCTGGCGGCCGGCGTGCGGGGCCGGGCCTGCCGGCGCGCTGCTGCCTGCGCCCGGGCCGCGCGTGGCGACGGCGCCCTGGCACCGCGTGCGCCTGGCCATGCAACGCCCCGCAGCTGCCGCCTCGCCCTGGCTGCTGTGGCTGGACGGCGCGGCGACGCCGGTGGCGCTGCGCGGCCTGGCCGGCGACCTGGGCTTCCTGTACGGGCCTGGAGCCGCGCGCGTCCTGCTGGCCGAGAACTTCACCGGCTGCCTGGGCCGCGTGGCGCTCGGCGGCCTCCCGCTGCCCCTGGCGCCGCCACGGCCCGGCGCGACCCCCGGCCCCGGAGAGCACTTCGCCGCCTGGCCTGGGACGCCGGCCCCGCGCCTCGGCTGCCGCAGCGCGCCCGTGTGTGCGCCCTCGCCCTGCCTGCACGGCGGCGCCTGCCGCGACCTCTTCGACGCCTTCGCCTGCTCCTGCGGCCCGGGCTGGGAGGGCCCGCGCTGCGAGGCCCGCGCCGACCCGTGTCGCTCCGCGCCCTGCGCCCGCGGCCGCTGTCACGCGCGCCCCGACGGCCGCTTCGAGTGCCGCTGCCTGCCCGGCTTCACCGGCCCGCGCTGCAGGTGCGCCGGCGCGGGGGTGGCCGAGAGCGGCCTGTGCCAGGCCCTGGGGTTCAGGATTGAGGGGTGCGTGGGCCGACAGGGGGCCTGGAGGGAGGACCCGGGGCGGTGGGTGGGGCAGAGAGGTCCGTGGAGCCGGCCTGCGGATTGGCTGCCTCTGTGGGCGAGTGGCTTCCATGCCTGTGTCTGAGAAATGGGGACGACAGTTCAATTTGATAAATTTAGGGGTAAAACAGATCAAAATATGCCCAGTTTGGCCAGGCCCAGTGGCTCATGCCTGTAACCCTAGCACTCTGGGAGGCCAGAAGCGCGAGGATCGTTTGAGCTCAGGAGTTCGAGACCAGCCTGAGGGAGCGAGACCCATCTCTACTAAAAATAGAAAAAATTAGCCGGGCATGGTGGTACATGCCTGTTGTCCCAGCTCATCGGGAGGCTGAGGCAGGAGGATCGCTTGAGCCCGGGAATTTGAGGTTGCTGTGAGCTAGGCTGATGCCACAGCACTCTAGCCCAGCTGACAGAGCAAGACTCTGTCTCAAAAAAAAAACAAAACGCCCAGTTAGATTTGAGTTTTAGATAAACTACCCAGAGCTAGTGGTCTGGGAGTGGGGGTGGGGGACCCAGAGCTAGTGACCTGGAGGCTTCCCAGCGGTGCTGCCTCCATTCATGTTCATCTCCATTAGTCCTGCAGGTCGGGGCAGGTGAGGGGTCAGTCTTCTTCCCTCCTTCAGTGTTGTGTTCCGCTCCCCACTCCCTCTGGAATTTGTCCTGCCGTAGCCTGGTGCTCCTCTCATGGAGTGTCAGGCCCTAGCCTTGTGTTCAGGAGCATGCCTTTGTTCCAGGAGGGTCTTCACATTTTGTCGGCTTCTCAAAGGCCACTGAGGCTCAGGAAAGCTTGTGCCTGTGGTGGGTGGAGGAGCTGGTGACAACCTGTGTCCCTTCCTGCCCCCCAGACACGGCTTCCATGACTGATCTGGAGTCTCGGGAGGTGGGCCCTGAGTCCCACAGATGAGAACACAGGCACTGGTGGCCTGCGGTCACGGGGTGGGGGCGGACAGGTCCCAGGCATCCTGCCCGCTGCAGCCTTTTCTCTCCCCCAGGGTGCCCGTGCTGCCCGAGGACTGCAGCCTGAACCTCACCTGCCTCCACGGCGGCCCGTGTGAGGGTGGGCCCCCGGGCACCAACTGCAGCTGCCAGGAGGGCTCTGCTGGCCAGAGGTGGGTCTGGGGCCAGGGGAACTGCCAGGTGGCCTGGTGAGTGTGGAGAGCTGCCCCTGCAGCCAGTGCATGGGCAGGGGGCTCCTGGCTCACTTCCCCACTGGTGTCTCGGTGCTGTGCGGTCCACATTGTCACTTGCGGCCTTTCCTCCTGGGGCTTCCAAGACCACCCGTGTTAGGCGGACCCCCGCTGTGTGCAGTGGTTGCCGGGGGTTGCTTCTTAGAGCTGGGTCCTCAGCCCACGTGTGTCAGGACCCCCTGGGGAGACTGTAAAAGGGCAGATTCTGGGCCTTGGTGTGGTGGAGTTGGCCCCCCTGAGAGTCATTCTTGGTCATGAACGCTGGGGAAGGGGGTGGCAGGTGTGTAGTTCACATCCAGCTTCAGTGGCCAGGCAGGGGCAGTGTGTGGGGACAGCAGTCAGATAAGCTCTGATGCTGGCGGGCTTGACGGGGGGAGCGCCAGGGCAGCAGGGGGAGTCAGAGGCGGCCACAAGGGAGCAGCTTTCTCAGACCCCTCCCTCCCCAGGTGTCGGATCCCCATCCTCCCCTGTGAAGCCAATCCCTGCTTGAATGGGGGCACCTGCCGGGCAGCTGCCGGGGTGTCTGAGTGTCTCTGCAGCGCCAGGTTCTCCGGCCAGTTCTGCGAAGTGGCGGTGAGCAATGCCAGAGGGGGCGGGGCCTGTTGGGGACTTTGGCAGGATGACGTCGGGGGTGGGGAGGGTGTATGGCACCCGTGGAACTGTTCCTGGACCAGCTCTGTCGTGGGCGGGAGTGGCTGGGACAGGAGACTCAGGTCCCTTCCTCACTCCCCACAGGGGGTATTTTCACTGCAGGGAGAGCTTTGGGGCCCCGCCATCTATCAGCAACAGGCCGGGGCTTCCCCACAGTGCCTAGGGGAGAGGCAGTGGGGACAGGTGGGCTCTGCCAAGTCCCATCTGGGACCACAATTCAGGGCCCACAGGAACTTGGAGCTCAAGGGTTTAGGTTGGTAAATCCAAGAGCCCGCAGGTTTCTGAGCAGCATCCTGGGGTCGGGAGGCCCAGGCAGCCCCTGACCCCAGGGAGGGCCCTGGACAGAGGGGCACAGACACTGAAGCTGTGGCCCTCCGTCTCACACCCCCATCAAGAGGTGGAGCAGGCCCTGCTGCCAGGAGGGGCGCTGAGCCTGGGGGGCGCTGGTGGGAGGGGGCTCAGGAAGCGAAGTCTGGAGAGCAGCCTTGATCTCCACAGGCCCTGGCAGTGCGGGTCATAAACCGCAAATCCCTTCTGCTCCTGGGGAATGTTTCCTTTCAAGCTGAACTTTTACAGCCTCTGCCCCTCCCCCACCCCATCCTCCTCCCAGGGCAGGGGGAGGAAATGGCTTTACAGCTCCCCCAGAAGTGCCCAGGGGTGGAGGCTGGCAAGGGCCCACTCGGGGCTGGGACGAACTCTCTATTGCTTTGGGACCCCTTCTCCAGGGCTGGGGACCCAGGTCATAGCACACTGAGAAGCCTCAAGGTGCAGAGGGAGGGCTGGTGAGTCTGAGACTCTGGCTCTGGAATCCTGTGATTCTGGGACTTCAGAATTCCAGGTGTGAAGACTCCTTGATGGGGTATCCTGGGAGTCTGCAGCTGGAGATGAGGAAGTTTGCTGGTCCCCCGAGGCCTGGTCTGAGCTCCCCGCAGGAAGGCAGGCCCTGGTGGGCCACCGTCAGCTGGGCTCAGCCGCCCTGCTCCTGCTGAGCCTTATCAGGCGTTGTAGGGCTCTGCGAAGTCCCACACACGGTGCTTAGCCCGCACTGGGTGTCCCGTAAATGTCTGTCTTCTGTCTAGCCAGAACCCTTTGTTGTACAGGACTCCCCGTGCAGTGGCTGTGACAGGTGGGTTCCTGTCACCTGCCTGCACACCCCTGGGGCCAGGTCTCACTACCTCCCTGGGAAGCCGGCTCCCGCTCTGGTTTTCTCTGAGCAGGTCCTTGTGCCCCACTTTCTCCTCTCCGAGGGGCTCGCCTTCTCTGCGGCTCAGGCCTCGTTGTGTGTCTCTTGCAGAAGGGCCTGCCCCTGCCGCCGCCGTTCCCGCTGCTGGAGGTGGCAGTGCCCGCAGCCTGTGCCTGCCTCCTCCTCCTCCTCCTGGGCCTCCTCTCAGGGATCCTGGCAGCCAGAAAGCGCCGTCAGTCCGAGGGCACCTACAGCCCGAGCCAGCAGGAGGTGGCCGGGGCCCGGCTAGAGATGGACAGTGTCCTCAAGGTGCCGCCTGAGGAGAGACTCATCTAGGCCAGCCTGGCTGCCAGTGCCAGCACCCTGGAGGTCCTGAGCGATTTCTACCTGGAGACCCAAGGAGGCTGCTTTAGGGCCTGGGACACTGCTGGGGAGGTGTCCCCTTGGCTGGCTGCCCCTGCCGCTACCCCATCGTGGACTGAGGAAAAGGGGAGCAACTCAGGGAAATAGGGGCCTGGCGAGGGTGTGGACATCTCCATCTGACCCAGCAGGTTTTGCCTCAGCAGGTGTACGACTGTGTGTGTGTGTACATGTGGGTGCACACGGTGTGTTCCGGAGCGTGTGTGAGCGTGTGCCTGTGAGTGTGAGTCTGCAGATCCCATGTGAGTGTTCTGATGGGGCTCACGGGCGTGGCCGCTGCTTTTGCTCTGTGTGTACGTGACTGTGTAGTGGGCGCATGTGGTCCCAGGGAGCAGGTGGCTGCACCGTGGAAACCACTTTTACACCCTAGGGCAGGGGCAGCCCAGGCTGCATGTTCTGCAGGCGGCCAGGCCTTGCCCAAGCACCAAGGCTGTGGCTCCTGCAGCTCCTCCCTCCCCCAGGGGCTGCCCCTGCCCTGGAGGCAGCTGGGAAGTCAAGGGATGCCATTAGTGGAGGCCCTGGGGCTCCCGGCTCCCAAAACAAATGCTCCTTCAGGCAGATGTCTCTGCCCAGAGCTGGTCATACAAGGGAACCACAGACCAACCCACCCCGTGCCTGCCCAGGGCTGGCCAGCAGGAGCAGATGGGCAATGGGCTGCCCCGAGCTTCCCACGTGCTGTGGTCGCTTGTCGTGGTCACTTGTCCAATGGGGAAGGCACCCCCTGCCTACCTCACAGGGCTGTTGTGAGGATCAGAGAGGATGACAACGGGAAAGAGCTCTGGAAGTCGTAAACTGCTGCCTGATGTGAAGGACTGTCTGGTGTCCTTTCAGGTGTCTGGAAGTGTCATCTCCCCTGGCCAGAGTTGGGGGGGAGAGGGGGAGGGGCCTACCTGGGGTTTGGCAAGGCCAGAGCAGAGGGGGCTAAGGATGAAGGAGCAGCCCTGGCCCCTCCCAAGTCCCCAACTCACCCCAACACCTGGTTCTCCAGCTCTGACCCTGGCGAGGTCACGCCTTCACCTGCAGCCAGGCTGCCTCTGTAGGTGGCCGTGGGTGGGATTCAGCGTTGCCGAGGACGAGCGCTCGGCAGACACTGGCGCTGCTGTGTGGGACTGGTCCGGCTGGGGCAGACTCGGGGAATTGCTGCTTGCAGTCCCTTCCCTGGTGATGCCCGTCACAGTGACCTCTGGGCACACAGGGGCACTTGCCTGAGGGCCAGGCCTCCTGCCAGCATCACAGAGTCCCTGTCTTCCTTCCGTTTCCTGGGCCAGCACTTCCTGTGACCGAGGGCTCCAGGTGCCAAGCAAGGCCAGGAGATCTTTTGCACTTGTAAGTTGGCAGTAGGATTGACCTTGTAGACTCCGTCTGCTGCCAGGAGGTGCAGGAGTCCAGTGCGATGTGACAACTGGGGACTTGGGTGGGGGAGGGGATCGGGATTTGGCAGAGGCTGGGCTAGAGGGCCCTGAACGCTGGCTGAGGGGCTGGCTCGGGCCTTATCCTTGGGAGGTGGGACCACCTTTGCCACAACTTTCTCCACATCCCCTAGGAAAGAGGGGAGGAAGCGTCTGGTTCCCTCAACGTAGCCACAGCTGGTTCCTACTTTAGTTTGTTGAAGTCAGGAATTTTCGAAACCCATGTTAGTTGCAGACTCCTGAGACAGTTTATGTGGACACCCAACATGTAGATAAAGCTGGCTGCCTTTTTTTTTTTTGAGACAGTCTTGCTCTGTCGATCTTGGTAGAGTGTAGTGACATCATCATAGCTCCCTGCAACCTCCAACTCCTGGGCTCCAGCGATCCTCCTCCCTCAGCCTCCCTGTAGCTGGGACTACAGGTAGATGCCATGAGGCCCAGCTAATTTTTCTATTTTTTTTTTCAGTAGAGAGGTGGTCTCACTCTTGCTAACGCTGGTCTTGAACTCCTAAGCTCAAGCAATCCTCTGGCTTTTGCCTCCCAGAATGCTAGGATTGTAGGCGTGGCTATTCTTTTTGGGGGAGCCCCTTGTCCTCCTCTCCCTTGCTCCTGTGGGTTCTGGGTGCTTGTCATTTTCAGGGTCAGCCCTGGGAGGGGGAACATGGCCAGGTCACGGGCAGACTGGGGTGTGTGTTTAACGCCCACTGGGTGATCAATTGGTCCAGATCTCCCCTCAAACACAAGTATCCAACAGAAGGGCAGATTCCAGGATCTGTTCTTGCTAACAAGAGATCTGTGGGGGCGACTTGCTAGGTACCCCTTTGAACTTGTTCTTTCCTGGAGCCTGGGCGCCCCCAACACCACTGGGGACCTGCAGCCTGCTCTATGTTCCTGGCAGGGCTGTGCAGGCCTGTCACCAGCTCACCCTGGGCCCTGCTTGTGAGGGGAAGGGGTGAGCTGGATTGGAGTCCTGAGTGGGCACAGGCTTGGGGGGGCACTGAATGCTTCCCTAAGCGCTCCACACCTGGCCTCCACCGCCGAGAGCCCACATGGAGGCTCCTGTCCCCACAGAGCTTCTGCAAGGACACAGATGGCAGCCTTTTGCCTAAGAAGATTTTATTGAATGCACACACAAAGTTCCTCCTTGGGTCTGCAAGTTCAATCCGGCGAGTGAAGAGACAGCAGTGCTCACGGCAACACGGGGCCCCTGCCACCAGCCCGAGCACAGCCGGGGAGACTGTGGGGCCTCCCGCCCTGGGGCTGCCCAGCACCTCTTTTCTCATCCTCTGACCTGTCCCAGAAGGGCCTGCGGCTCTGCCAGGATCAGGGGTAGAACTGGAATCTGTGCCGAAACACCAAGTGCCTGGGAGACGCCCACTGGCCCAGGTGTGACACAGCCCCCCCAGCAGCCAGAGAACACTCACCGGACAGTAAGAGAAGACCTGCCCAGACGGGCCACAGCGGACCCAGGAAGGGCTGTGTACTGGGCTGGCCACCAGGCCTCGGCACGCACAGCAGCCTCTCAGACACAAAGGGGCCTCCCTGGGGTGACAGGGACCTCCAGGGACCCCCTTGGCTCCATCAGACACCCTGTGTAGACTGTGTGTCTGACCATTCACAAATAGGAAATGAGAAATCAGGTCAAAATGCTCACAATTTCCTGCATGTCTCAGATGGTTGTTTTCTTAAATGGTTGGGCCATACTTTAACTTGCTTTATGGAAATGAATCAATTTCAAGATTCATCAAATCAATAAGGTAAAAAGGAAAAGAAAGATAAAAGAAACAATAACAAGACATTTCAATCTAACTTTGGTGACGTTGGCCTCAGGAATTGCTCTGCTGGCCAGAAGCTCGGGACAGGTGGGGAGGGACAGGCTTCTGGGGCTGCTCCTGCCTCCAGGCTGAAAGGAGCCTCCAGACCACTGGGACGGGACCCTGGAGAAGGGGCCCAGGGCCACCGCCCTGTCCCAGCCCAGGGAGCCAGGACTCCCATGTCAATCTGCAACGTTAAGCTTGGTCTTCAAATTGAAATCTGGGTCATTGCTTCTCAGCTTTGCCCACGAAGCCCCAAGTGACAATAGGCTGAGCCCAGCATTGACGGTGACAGGAGAGACAAGGAGAACTGGAAGTATCAGAGTGACAGAGGGCTAGATGAGGGCTGAGGATTCCTCCTAACTCACTGAGATTTGTGGGTTTCTATTTTTCTTCCACAAATCAGAGTTGCTGGTGCCCGGCCCCCAGTGCAGGGTGGCTGGGGCTGGGTTTGGCTATCAAAGGGGAGCCCGAGATCCTTCGGGCCCCAGATCCTACCAGGCCAGAAACAACTGAAGTTTGGGGTTGGGGTGAAGACGCAGGAAAGAACACATGTGCATATTGCTAGAGAGGGTTTGGAAATGCCCCACCAGGTAGATCCTCCACCCGGGAGCAGTCCTGACTTCAGCCCCCCAAATCACCTGTGTCTCGTGCAGACGAGCCCTCGCTTGGGGGTAACACTGACGCCCTCGCCCACCCAGGTGGGGTGTGCAGGGCTGGGCTGCGGTAGGGACAGGAGAGCTGGGCTCAGGAGGAGAGGCTTTGAGGAGCCTTCTGGATGTTTCCAGAGGGACGGAGGGTAGGACGTGGTCTGGGCAATCACTGGCCCAGCTGACTGACCTCTTTAGTGCAAAACCCAGTTGGGGTGCTGAGGGGCCGTGGCCGGGTGGGACGGGTGCCTAGGGGCTGGGTTGATTCCTAGGCCAGAACTGGCACCATTCCCTCAGAGATGGGCAGTAGGTGTGGAGACCAGGGCGTCAGGGGATGGCAGAGAGGGGTCCCATCCCTACCCACCAGCAGAACCTGGACAGAACCAGCGGCAGGGGAGCCTGGGAGCCACAGCAGTGGCGACGCACACTCAGGCTTGGCTCGCCCGCCCTCAGGGCCGGCTCACTCGAAGGTCTCCCACTGCTTCCTGAGCTGCTCCACGGAGCCTGGCGCCGGGGCCGGGCTCACGTCCTGCTTGGTTTTCTGTAACAAATCCTCAAAGGGGTCTCTGGCCTGTTGAGGAGCAGAGGGCCGCAGTGCTGGCTCCAGGCCCTGGGGGGGTCTGGGAGGCAGGAGCGGGGCGTCTCCCGGCCGCAGGGCCAGCGCCTGCTTGGCCTCAGCAGCCCTGGCGCTGGAGCGGGCCAGGGGCAACGTTCGGATCCTCGAGGGCACGACTGCTGGGGGCCCCAGCGGCTGCAGGGGGCTGGTGTGGACGCCCATGGGCATCTGGCCGAAGAGGTTGGGCATGGAGAGGGCGGACAGGTTGGGCTGAGACCTGTGAGGGGTGCAGAAGCCAGCACCGGACAGCAGGAGGCCGGGCGCAAAAGCCGGCCCCAGGGAGGCCGGAGCGGCCCCGAAAGGCCCAGCCGGTGTGGAGACCAGGGGCAGGGCAGGTGGGGCCGCTGGCATGGATGGGACAAAGGGGTTGAGTGGTGGCTGTGGGAAGGGGGCGGGGGTCCCTGCAGGGGGAAAGCTGTACTGGGGGGTGAATGGGGTGGCTACATTTGGGGCGACAGGGCATGGTGGAAGGGTGCTGCTGGGCCAGGCTGTGCTAAGTGGGTCCAGGAGAGCGAGCAGGGCGTCGCTGTCGGCGCCCGCAGCCCCCGGGGCTGGGCTGAGCGGCTGGAGCAGTTCAGTGGGGCCTTGGTGAGCACCACTGGGCAGGGGCCCTGGGAACAGGGCTGGGCTCAGGGCGGCTCGCCTCTCCCGATCCGCCTGCAGCCGCTCTGAGAAGTCACCGAGTGGGGTGCTGGCAGCCTGGAGCTTGGCCGGGCGGGCAGTGGGTGGTGGAGGCACGATGCCCAGCTCCGGGGTCTTCCTGCCCTGGGGCCGGGGAATGGTGATGCTGCCCAGAGTGGGGGTGGGCGCCTCCTCCTTGTCACTGGGGTTCAGGATGCTGTCCCGGTTCTGGGGCCTTCGGGGCAGGGCTGGGGAGTTCCCGAGCAGGACGGAGGGCTTCTCAGGGGAGGCAGCTGGGGGCTTGCTGGGGATGGCCATGTCGTCCTGGCCCAGGCTCCACAGCTTGTTGTAAGGGTGGGCAAGCTTCAAGGCCACCATCATCCCATGGCTCCTCTCGCTCCTGCCCAGGTCCAGTCTCTGTTGGGAGGGAACAAGGGAAACAGTGACCATAGGGGACAGACGGGAAGGAAGGCACGCCCGTTGCCATGCCCCTCCTGTGTGCAGGGTGTGTGCTCCCAGGCATGTGGCCATTTAACTCCTGGGTCTTGGAGCAGTTGGGGGCTCCCCAGGGCACCAGCAGAGAGCCCAGGTCTGTCTGGACTCCAAGCCCAGGCTTTTCTGTGTGGCACAAAGGGATTCGAGACAAAGCTCTTGTCCTGTTACCCCAGGGGTTGCCAAGTAGTTTTAGGAAGGCGACTGTATACCCGGCAAGGGTGGGCCCTTTTTACTTTCCAGGGCCAGCAAGCAGGACTGGTGGAAGGCAGGCTGGCTAGGGAGGGAGTAGAGGACTGGATTTGGAAGTGCTGGCTCTGCTATTTACACGCTACACACAGGGCAAGTCATTCCCTTTCTCTTGGCCTGAGCTTCCCCACTCCCAGTAGGGGGCACTTGTCAACTGCTAGAATCGTGGGAGCTTTGTGAATCCTGCCATGGGACGCCCCGACTGCAAAGTCAGCAACTTCTACTTGCAAGTGAGGAAACTGAGGCCCAGAGAGGGGATGTGATGGATTGGAAATCACAAGGGAAATCAGTAGTCACACAGGAATAATCCAGAATGTGGACTTTTGATCCAGAAGCTGTTGTCAGGAGCCTCAGTGAGGATGGGGAAGATCGCAGTTCTAGCAGTGGCTAAAGCCCTGCCCGGAGGCCTGGGGGACAGCGGCCTGGGGGACCAGCCCACCTCTGTCTGAGGCAGGCACGGAAGTGGGGGCAGCTTTCCACCAGGCTCCAGCATCTGATATAGTCATCACCTTTAGGGTGGTCTGGCTGTGGGCGGGGTTTGCAGTCAGACTGACCCCAGGCACTGCCTTAGGACCTTGGAAAAATCGAGCTTTCTCCTTTGGTCTCTTCCACTGTCACATGGGGGACCCGCCTCAGGTGTGCAAAGCACCCATCCCCAGCAGATGCCCTCCCTACAGATACCATACCTGATAGTCAAAGGTCCCTGGCTGCTCCCTCAGGTCTTTGGGGGCCCGAAGGTCCTCCAAGCTCTTGGCCTGGCCCAGCGGCTGCAGGGGGGGCTCCACGTCCAGGCTGCTGAAGACGTCTTCCAGAAGGTCAATGCTGGCGGCCCGGTCCGGCGGAGCTGGGGCAGGGCCCAAGGGCTTCCGCGCTCGCTGCTCCGGACTCTCCGCCTCGTCGCCGTCCGCACTGTCTGACTCCTTGAGCGTCCGATAGGGCTGTGGCCTGGGAGGAGACAGAGCAGGCTTGATCCTCCCACCCACGGCCTTCATGGAGGAACGAGTAGCTCCAGCCCCTGAGAACGTGTAGTCCTTGGAGAGGCCCAGGAGCCTCTGGAACACGAGTGTCCTGGGGTCCCCACGAGGGCAAGCATCTGGGTGGCGGTGAGGGCGCAAGCTGGACACTGACAGACCTGGGGCTGTGACCTCGGGCCAGTTGCTTGGCTGCTCTCACTCGGCCAAAGGGACCCACTTTGTTTCCTACAAACCACGGGTCCTTTCACAAAACTGGCTGGTGGGCTTGCGAGCCATTCAGATAGGGTGTGGGGAACTGCAGCAGGCAATGTGTCCTGCTCCCCCGTCCCCATTTGGTGACCGGCAAGTAGCTGCAGAGCCGGGTCCTGACACTTTCCAGAGGCAGCACCCCAGGACCCTCGGCTGCTGCTGACCTTGGCTCCCATTCTGGTCGTGCCATCTCTCGTCACTTAACCTCTCTGGGCCTCAGCTGCTCAGGTGGTGGTGGTGACTACATAAGCCAATGTGGTGCCTGGCACACAGCAGACACGCAGAGGCTGGTCACAGCATCACTGACCCACCAGTGAGCGTGGCTGCCACTTGGGCCCGTGATAGCAGCTTTCTGTACATTCACACTCAGAACCCTACAGCCAACCCAAGTGTGGGTAACAAAGGGTCCCACTTGCCTTCGCTTCCCACTGACCTGAGCCCCAGGGCACCAATGGGTACGCGGAGAGGCTGAGCCTGAGTAAAACCCTGACCTCTGGTGGAGCCCGGGCAGGAATTGCATCTTGCCTCCTCTAAGCGTTAGGGGGGGCTGGGGTGGCCAGTGGGTGGCTGCCCGGGTCGGGCAGAGACGTGCGCACGGTGCTGGTAAGGTGGGGGAAGGGCGCCACCTGCCGGCCAGGAGCAGGCCTGCGCCGAAGGCCCAGGAAGGAACCGTGGCGGGGACAGACTCCCAACTACCAGCAGGGACGCCATCAGACGGCACTGTCTCCCTGCAACGTGCAAGCAGCCTGTGAAGTGGGACTCACAACTCCACTTTAGAGATGAGAACTGTAAGCACAGAGAAGTTAAATAACTCAGCCTCTGGCACAACGCACCTGGAAGAGATGGATATGGAAGCCCAGTTCGAGGGACTTCAAAAGTCTCTCCCTCCCCCACTCTGAGGGATTAAAGACCTTTTAATAAAGTTTGAACACAATGAGCGGGATAAAGAAAATTAAGTCATTGTGCTTCTTAAATGTAAGGAGATAGTGTTCTTTTTAACTTATTTTGTTGAGTTAGGATGGGCCAGTTCCTTTTTTAACACACACACAAAGGCCTCTGAGGTCATGGGCTAAGAAAGTGAACATTAACCATTATTAAATAATTAAGGCATCAGTTAATTCAAAGAGTACGTGATGGGGCTGGGCCTTGGACCTGACCTGCTGGGCTCCTCGGTGAGAGCTGGGTGTTACCCAAGGAGGGTGCCTTTTCCTGCAAGGTGATTTTAAGTTGACACATGGATAAACATTTCTTATTCCAATGGTTTTTGTTTTTATTCTAGTTAGCAACAAATGATAACTAATACATTAAACCTATGATATCATAGATATTATTTCTTAGGACAAGGCTAATTTTAAAAAAAATTTAAAGAAAAAAATCTGGGCATGGTGGCTTATGCCTCTAATCCCAGCACTTTGGGAGTCTAAGGCAGGAGGATCATTTGAGGTCAGGAGTTCAAGACCAGCCTGTGCAACATGGTGAGACCCCATCTCTACAAAAAAATTAAAAGATTAGCTGGGTATGGTGGCGTTCACCTGTAGTCACAGCTACCTGGGAGGCTGAAGTGGGTGGGTCACTTGAGCCCAGGAGTTTGAGGTTACAGTGAGCTATGATCATGCCACTGCACTCTAGTCTGGGCAACAGAGCAAGGCCCTGACTCTTAAGGGGAAAAAAAAAGTCTAAGGAGAAAGATTCAATGAACAGAAAAGGTGGCGTGTGATGGCTTGGGCGACACTGCCTTAGGCCACTACTTTCTAACTGAGGACGTCAGGAGGGGATTGATTTGCCCGGGTCCCAGGTGACCTGGTGTCAGGAAAGGGCCAGGACCCACCTACCGTGTAGGGACAGTGGCAGGAGGCAGCACGGTCTGGGGTTTATAAGGTCCCTAGAGGAACCCAGGGGCAGGGACTTGATGCAGGGGACTTCTGCTGGGGTTTGGGAACAGGGAGGGTGTGAAAGGGGGTGTGAAGGGGAGGGAGGGAAGCGCATTTCCTCTTCTGTAAGATGGCTAAAACGATCACTCCCTGGAAGGCTGTTGTGAGCGAGCACTGTGGGCGTTCAGCAAAGGGCAGTTTTCCTTCCCTTAAACGCTCCCATGGAAAACACGCAACCTTGCTAACAAATAACAACAGACAAAAGCTGTCTCTCTGCTCAATCCCAGCTCTGAAGAACTTGTGGGTGGAGGGGCAAGAACTGGCAAAGAAAGGAGGACTATAAAAGCTTAACTTTTGGTGGGGGGGTGGGAGGATTGTGGGTGAACCCTTTTTTTCTTTTTTAAAATTGCTATTTGTAATTGGTATGAGGCTTAGGCTATAAATAATAATGTTAAAAATTATCTTTAAAAAGTCAGGCAGATCAGAACATTTGGGTATGCTGGCATTAATATACACATTCCATATTAGTAAAGTTTTGTTTTTTTTTCTTAACTTACAATATCACTCCTCGTCTCCATGGCTTTCCAAGATGTGCTGAGATAAACAAGGACTTGAGGATCACTAACTGCATTAACAGCGAAGCCAATTTTCCCCTCGTAAGGAAAGGGGACCCCTGGTGCCGTCTCACCCTGTCACCCAACTCCATCGTCACAGCCCCTGTAGGGCAGGCAGAATGATGCCCTGAGAGGAAGAGGAGGCACATGGAGGTGGCGTCCACCCTGCACGTTGGCACCGGGGCACTGGCAGGCAGCAGCTCCAAACACCCCTCCCCCCCATGCAAGGGCAAGCAGCACCCCCCACCACCATGCAGCCCCCGACAGTCACCAAGCCATGCTCAGGGAAACGGAAGAAGGAAGGAGAGACCATTCAAAGGGAGCAGAGAAGAAAAAGCTCTCGGTGAAGCCAGAGCTCGGGCCCTCTTCCCGCTGGCATTCATCGTCAGAGGAGTCCTCGGAGAGGAAGACCGCATAGTGTCTCAGGGGCTTTACCAGGCTGGGGGGGCAGAGGAAGACAAAAGAGAAGAGAACAGGCAGTTAGGGGCGCCGTGGGGACTCCACGTGCGGGTGGAAGGAGGGCTCTGGGCTCCGTGCCTGGCCCTGGCCTCCCTCTGCCAGCCCGCGGTGGCGGCTCCTGGGGAAAGGCCTGAGGGGCCGCAAGGCGAGGAAGCCGGTCCCAGATGGAAAAGAAACTGTGGATTTGCCACGTGTGCCAAGAGCCTCAAACTCATGATCCGTCACCTCTGACCTAGTGGTTACACTTCCATTTGGATAACTCTGAATGTAGCAAAGAATTACGCCCAAAGATGTTCATTACTGCTGTTTATAATATTAAAACATGAAGCCACCCGTTTTCAGCAACAGGAATCTGTGCAGTGGCTGAATGTTGTCTTCCCATTGACAAAACGTTTGTGAAGAATCAGGACGCAGAACTGCAATTACACGGCACTCTCTCTCCTCAACTTATGGGAAAATGCATAGAAAAAAGACAGGAAAGACACGTGCCTAAATGTCAGTAACAGCCAGTGGGATCGTGGGTGATTTCCGTGCCTTACACATTTCCTACAATGAGCACATCTACTTCAATAATCAGGAAAAAATAAAAAATAAAAAAAGTTAAAGAAAAAAGTGAGCCATGTGGAAGAGCATCGCAAGAAGGCCCTTTTCTGATTAGTGGCTGCTCTCTGGAGTTTCCCTCAGATGCCTCTTCAGAGAGTCTTTTTCATCTGTGATGTGGAAATTAAATATTCATTGTTATAAAAAATGCATCTCCCTTGTCAGCCACCTGTGAGCTCTACCTCTATAAACACAAACACGTACACAGGCCGGAGCAACTCCACGCCGGCCTCCTATGAATTATATACCGGCCAGGGCCCGCGAGAGGCTGTGTGCTCGGGAGAGAGGAGCTGGGCTGGGCAGACCTGGGTTCAAATCCTGACTCCTGTGCGCCGCACCCCTGCCCCATTCATGGGCTGGGTTTGCTCTGAGACGATGGAGAAGTTGGGACAGGGTTGGGTGGGAGACACCAGGTGCCTGAGAGGGGCTCTCCTCTCTCCTCTCTTTGCTTTGTGTGGCGGGAATTCCTTTAAGGTTTTATTTCAGGAAAGGGCAACGCATTTAAGAAAAGGACACAAGAACCCCGGCTGGAGGGAAAATGAGGGGCAGCCGCTGCCCCCTGGGGGTGGGCCAGTGGGTTGTGACTGTGACGATGTACCACGCAGAGCTGGCTCCCCGCACGCTCACACCAGAACCTTCACTTCCGCACATCGTCCCCAGAGGCTGGCCAGGTGAGGAGAAGCCACGAGCCCAGGGTCACACCCTGGAGGTGGTGGGTCACAGCGCTTGGCTCCTCTCTGGCCGCCTTGCTGGCTGTTGGGGACGAGCACACCTCAGCCCTTCCTGCACTAGACAGGGCGTCAGCCCAGGCGTTTCCTCTGGCCTCAGCGAAGAGGGGCAGGGAGGTCTGGCCCCCGGGCCCGTGCCCTGGCCGGCGGCGAGGCCAGGCCGCTCACTCCTGCCACTTCCACAGCAAACAAGGCGGAGCAGAAAGGCCCCCTCCACACGGCCACTGGAGTCCTGTTCTGAGTCACAAACCTGACCTAGTGACCCTCCTGCTTAAAACCTGCACGTCTGCCATCGAGAATCAGAATCCTGCCGCGACTGGTTGTGTGGGGAGTGAATACACCCATTGAGCAAACTGTTAGGAATAAGAGTGTTCAGACACTTGCAGAACGGCTTGTCTGTTTAGCAGGCAGGGGGCTGCTCTCCGGAGCAGGCGCGGGCTGGAGGGCGGGCAGCCTGGCTCTCGCTCCACTCTGGGGAGCGGCTGTGTCAAGTGCGAGCTCTGAGCAAGGCAGACTCCAGGCCGCATGTGGGCTCTGCCTACCTCTGCGGCCTCCTCCCGGCACCCCTGCACTTTAGCCACGCTTATGCCTGAGGAATGCTCGTCTCTGAGCATGCAGGGCCCTTAACACTGCACCTCCCTGGCTCCTTTGCCTGGTGCACTGACTGCTCTTCAGTCCTGAGGATGCAGCTCAAATGGCACTTCTCCGAAGCCCCCTGGAGCTCCCAGCCGGAGTTCTCTCCCAGATGGAGATAGCTCTCTCAGGCTGTGTGTCTTAGTGCTTCACAGATACCATTCAACCTTTTGCAATTCTGTTTCTGAGTTGAGCTCCCCCAGGGCAGGCATCCGGCTTGTTCTCTCTCCCCCATGTGTTGGGGACGGGGTGCTCAGCACTGAAAGAAGGAAAGCCAGCATGCTGGGGCCCAGTCCCACCACCTTCCTGGAGCCCTGTCACAGCAGACCTAGGCCACTGAGCCCGGGGGAACCACTCGTGAAGAAGAAAGAAGTGACCGAGTGACCCAGCCAGGAAGGAGCAGGGATTCCAGCCCTCACTTTGGGTCAGCAGGGCTGATGGTGGACACACACAAGGGGACACTAGCCCCAACTTGTGTCACACGGTGAGGCTCTCGAGTGGCCCTCACATCCATCTTGAATGTCCTTCTGACACCTGTCCAAGCACAGGCACCTCCACTGCTCTGACAAGAAAGCACAGATCACGGCTTGGCGCGCTAGTGGAATGCCACTAAACCTGCCAGGAATTTCTGGATCCATATAAGAGCAAAGAGTCTTTGTGCTGGGCTGGACGCTGGCTTCATTAAATCAGGCTGCTGCAGTTCAGGTCACTGTCAAAACCCGGTGCCTCCCGGCTGGTGTGACTGCAGAGGGAGGCTGGGGGGGCCTCAAGTTCCAGCTCACGAACCACTGTCCTCCTCCAGCCAGCTCTCCGGGCCCGGCCAGGCTGGGTGGGCAGCGGCTCCCACAGAGGCCCACGTTGTCTCCCGAACATACCACCTGCCTCTCGAGAGTGGCAAGGCACCCAGGTGAGAAGTCTGCCACGTGCTGTGGTCAGAACAGAGCTGTGTCGGGTCCGGGCCACACGGACGATGATGATGTCACTAGCAGTACCTACAAGCCTCGGCCGAAATGCTGTCCATATAATTTCTCATGAATTCCTTATCAGATCTCCATTTTGCAGACAAAGAAGCCAAGGCTCAGAGAGGGGGAGTCGCTTGCCAGGGGTCACACAGCAGCTAAAGGTAGAGCCGAGAACTGAATCTGGATTTGCCTGACTAAACCACTACAGGATCCTGCCTCTTCAGTTTCCTGCATCTGAAACAATGAAACAAGAGGTAGGGTGTTTCCGCTCTTACTTTTAATGAAAGATGAGATTTCAAAATAAACTTATTTAAATTCAGCTGCTCATGTTCTCCCATGAAACATACAGTCAGATATTTGTCAGAGATAAAGGATGAACCATCGAAAACGTCCAGGCTTAAATTTTTTATTAGCTTAAGGCAGAATATGAAAAAAAAAATGTACCTTTTCCCTCATTAACCCAATTCAGCTACTACCCTGCAGTCTGCCACCCACCACTTGCCTGGATTTTATTACACACAAAGAGCTGTCTGTGAAAAGGCAGGTCGTGGCAAACTTGGCTGCCCGGCGAGGGCTGCCGGAGCCTTGGCGAGAAAGCAAGCCGGGCCGTCCATCACCACTGAGCCCCGCCGTCCCCCACGGCTGCTCCCGCCTCTGCCCACCTCGTCTCCGCGGAGTTCCCATGCAGATGACTTCCCGAACCCTTTCTAATGTTTGGTTTAACGTGTCGCCGGTTAGCGCGCGCGTGTGACAGTGGTGACAAGCGAGGCTGTTCCTTTTTAAATACCATGTCAGAGACACGGCGTCAGGAAGCGGGGACGTGCTCTGTGCTCTCCGCCGTGCCAGGATCGCACCAGCTTATTTTTTAATGAGGAAGATCTGCATCTCGAGAGTTTTTTTCATGTGTCACATCGCGTGGACAAATCAGCAGCACGTCACGCTGGCCCAAAATGAAATGCTGACAAATGTAGATATTTCAAATTTAATTGACATTTAAATGTACTTGAGATAAAGATGGGAAAAATCAGCAAGGACTTGGTCTCCGGAGGTAATGAAGGGGAGCTGGTGATCATTTTCTAAAGGATCATTTCACTCCAGCACAAAGGATCTTCACTATGTAACGTCTGGGCCGTGCTGCACCCCTCGTCCCCCCACACGTGGCTCCAGCGGGCAGGGGCTGATGAGCAGGGACAGGCCCAGGACGAGGCCAGCTCCTGCCTGTCCAGGGGGTGCCCGTCTGCCCGGCCGTCCACCGCCCTCCCCCTTCCTGCCCGGTTCACCTGCCTGGACCTCATTCTCTTATCTGTAAAATGGAGATTTTACAGCCCTCCTAAGAGTCTTATCATAAATGTTAAATGAAAATATTTGTAAAGGGCTTTGCGGAGTGCTTAACACATAGTGAATATTCAATTACTGTCTACATGCCATGTTCACCTGCAACAAATAGATTCTGGGCATTTCTATCCTGCACAGGGTCTTCCCCGGGTGTTAAGGACGAATAAGGCGGTCCCTGCCCTCCCAGACCTCTGTAGTCAGGGTTAGCAGTCTCAGCTGGGCATATCTCAGCACATCAGAATGGTCTGAGAAGTCCTACCTGGAGATTCTGCCTGCTTCCCTCCATGACCACGACACAGCCAGCACTTTAGACCACACCCCTGGTATGTGCAGAGGTGGGGGGTGAAAAAAAAAAGAGAGAAAACGGCTCTGACCAAGACAGAGGGATCTCTGGCAGAGAGAGTGTGGGGCAGTACCCACGGGGAAGCTCTAGAACTGGACTGCAGCTACGCCCTGGGTGACCAGGGTAAGGGCTAGGACTGTTCTCACGGAGGAAGAATTGGAGACCGATACAGGAAGCTGCTGTGCACAGGATCTTTGTACTCAGTAGTGGGTGAGTATCTACACAAAAACAACAACAACGAGAAGACTCATTGTTGCAACAGGTCAGGATCAGCAAGGAGAGGGTGTTCTACCTGTCAGGTGAACCGGTCAAGGGGAGATTGGTGAGTGTGGGAGACCAGGTCCTTCCCACCCCACTGGGGACTTGTTCTGCCGGAGGA